ACTTATATGAAAAAGGAGTGGAACCCATAACACCCCCCTCCTTAGATCCCTGGGGGAAGTTAGTATTTTTGTCTCTTATGGTTGATGATCAGGGGTTCGACAAATTTTCTCTTCCTGTTTGACCTTCTCATTTCTGTGTCTTCCTGCGGTCTTTGTATCTCAAACGCTTCGAAGATTGTATCCATAGAGTCGTCGTTTCCTGCGGTTGACGAGCTTGGCTCCTCAATCCGTCTTTTCTGTAATTGGTCGATATGTCTTCTATGTGAAAACTTCTCGCCTTTTATGGTGTACATTAGATTCCCTAATCTATTGATTACTGTGCCAGGCTCCCAGTAAGCCATATTGTTTCTAAACATTTTAAAATAAACCCGTTCTCCAGGTTTGAATGATCTCTTTGGTACAATCGGTGTATACTGATTTTTGTTCTTGTTTGGCAATAATTTGTCAAACACAGACCTTATTCTCCGGGCAAACATCAATTCCGCTGGTGAGAGACCCGATGGCGTGTTCACGTTAGGTGTTATTCTGTACACTTGGAGGAACTATTGTATCGCTTTTATCGTCGGTACATCCTCAGCTTTTTTTAATGCGATTTTTAGTGTGTCGACGAATCTTTCAGCTTGTCCGTTCGACCTCGGGTGGTACAGAGCTATCTTGATATGTTTTACTTGATATGTCTCACAAAATTCTTTAAAGTCACTGGAGGTAAACTGTGTGCCGTTATCGATTACCAAACAATCCGCGACGCCAAATCTCGCGAATAGTTCGTGTAAACAGTTTATGGTGTTTTCTGTCGTCGGGTGTTTAAATCTGGCAAACTCTGGCCATTTACTGAAACTATCTACTGTTATTAAATAATAGTAACCTTCAATGGGTCCTGTGTAATCCACGTGAATTCTGGACCACGGTCTGTCGACTTTAGGCCATGGCCTTTGTATAGAGGGTGATGCCTTCGCCGCAGCAGCACGACCTTTACAACTTTCCACCATCTGCGTGATATCATCGTCCATATTCGGCCAGTAGACAAAACGTCTTTTATGTGTGATGTGTGCTCTTCAACATTGTCGCTCTTAATTAGAATATCATCCAGATAAGTGGTCGCGAAATTCTGGACTGTGAGCATTGCAGGTGCAACTTTTATTCCGAATGGTAGTCTGTTGAATTTGTACAACCCTTTGTGCGTATTAATGCAAAGGATTTTCGTACTCTCTTCTTGTACTGGGATTTGTAGATAAGCCTCATTAAGATCTATTTTTGAAAATATCTTACTGCCGTTGAGCTTTGTAAATATCTCCTCTGGGCTCGGAAGTGGATAATGGTGGTCTTTTATTGCTTTGTTGAGTCCCGTCGAAAAATCTGCGCATACGCGAATTTCTCCTGACTTCTTTTTACATAAACCACCGGCGGTGCCCACTCACTAAACTCTGTTGTTGATAGAATCCCAGTTTGTTCAAGTCTCTCCAATTCTTTGTCTAATTTTTCTATAGTAGCGAACGGTACATTTCGCTTCTTTTTAAAAATTGGTTGTACGTCTTCTTTTAATTCTATTTTGGCCTTAAATTTCTTGCATCGTCCCAACCCGCTTGAAGATACCTCAGGAAATTGATTATATAATTCCTCCTTCAATTTTATAGTATCTGATTGTTCAACCTCTAACTTTTTGCAAAACGAGTTAATAGGTAGGTCCCAAACGTTGAACTTCTGCATCCAGTCGATACCTACTAAATTTTCAGTATCTTTCATGACGTATATCTTCAGTTTTTTTGTTTTGCCGTGAAATTTAATATTCACTATTATTTCTACCTCAAATTTTATTCGTTTGCCTGTAACCGACTTGTCAATTTTTTGAATGTGTAACATGGTAGGTCTGTTGAGTTTTTTTCATGTCCGTAAGTTGATTATCGTGAGGTCGGAACCCGAATCCAGTTGTAATTTAATCTTTTTATTTAAAATTCCCAGTTCCACTTATTTCCTTACCTCGGTGTTGTCATCCTTGTAGCTCTTATTGTATTAGTATATTTTCTATTTCTACAATGGGATGCCTTGTGGCCCTTTTTTCCACATTTTTATATCTGAAGCGGCAATCCTTGTTCCAATGTAATCCTCCACATCGATAACATGCTGATGGAGGGGGCTTATATTTGTTTCGATATTCGTCATAATTTGTCCTGTATGTTGTACTTTTTCTCTTATCATAAAATTTTCTTTTTCTTTCCGAGGAGGGTGAGAATCTTTTTTCATTGTCGTAAAATTTTAGCTTTCTTTCCGGGGAGGGTGAAGAACGTAGACTTTTGTTTAACTTACGTATATGAGAAACAGCTGATTCTTCAATGTCCTTTGCGTCTTTCTTTATGCTTAAACATCTCTGGCAATCTTCCGATAATTGCTGTAATATTAGACCCGGTTCATTTTGTAATTTTGCAAGCATTCTTCTGCGCATTTCGCTATCTTTTGTAGAAACTAGCCCTTGAACAAAGATGAGACATTTGAAATTGTCCGGGCTTAATTCCTCTAGTTTGAAGTCGTCACAATGTTTATTTTCGATTGCGGCAAACGTGGAATAATCCTCATTATCTCCCTTTACCAGGTTAAGGCATTTCCACCTTCTATGGAAGAGTGATGTTTTGGGGCTGAAGAGTTCTTTAAGACATGTCACTGCTTCGTCAAATGTTAATTTGTTCGTCTTTTTTGGCAAGATATAATCCACGAACTTTGTATATTCTTCAGTTCCTAATTTTTTAAGCATTAGACGTAGCTTTTTTGCTTCTGTTCAATTTTGACAGTCTATGTTAAAGATGTCTTCATGTCTTCTGAAGTAATTTTTGTCCTCATCTAGAGAATATTTTAAAATCTCTATCGTATTCCACACTGCGTCTTGCGAAAATGTTGCTTCTTTTTCAATATCTAATTGTTTGTTGCCCGCTACTTTCAATATTAGTTCCTGGAGCTCTATTTGTCTATCTTGATTTTCCTTTTGCGTTTATAATAATTGCTTTTGCCATTTTTCTTGTAGCTGTAACTGTTGATCATTTTGGTATTTTTGCATTTGTAATTGTTGCTCATTTTGGTGTTTTATCAGTTCTACCAAAATATTTTTAAAATCTTCCATGATAACTCAATTTTATGTATTTTTACTCCTCGAAATTGTTTGTCGCTAATTTGTTGTTGGACGACGAGGGAAGGATTTTTCTATTTCTTCTTTTCGTGTGAGTTCGAATCGCTCGAAGACAATTTGCTTGTTGGACGACGAGGGAAGATTTTTCTTTTGTTGACTTTTTCTTTTCCGCTTGGGTTCAAATCTTCGTCGCCAAGCGGTTATGGATTCCGAGATGAATTCGGTCTCCAATAAATGACAAACGCAATAATTAAATATAAGAAATAAAATGTATTTACACAATCATACAAAGAGTAATACTGTTAGTAAATCCAGGAACGCGGTTAGTAGCAAATACAGATAGATATATACAGTCTCGAAGTAGGACTTCCTTAGAGTCTACGTGCTTTTAACTGGCTTCTACAAGAGGTTACCTCACTCTATCTCCGTTCGTATATTCTCTCACAATCCGTATATCCTCTCTCACTGACTGTCTACCCCTGGGTATTTAACGGCAGCACTCCAAGTAACACTGGTAGAGTCCACTTATATGAAAAAGGGGTGGACCCCATAACAATATGAAAAGCTGTAAACAGGCGAAGTAACCTTCTGCACATTACGACTAGGGGAAAACGTATGTAAACAATGCCAGTAATGACAGTCGGACAACGCGAAAGAGATCGAACTTACATTGGTGATAAATCGAAAACGATAATCGAGCGCAATGATTTAACATCATTTTCGAAATAACCAGGCAATTTCACACCAGAAGGGTACACTCTCAATACTGACGTCTTTTGGTGCTTATACTGCAAATATATTTCTTTCTTCCATTTTTCTATATTTGACAAGTAATAATTAAATTCATTATTATATAAGAAACTAAATAATATAAAAATGCTATTATTATTACCAAATAATTAAAAATAATGATAAATTAAAGATTAGAAAATTATAAACAAATAGTAAAATAGTCTGGGTTTGTCATTTACACTTACTTTTCAGAGAAGTGTATTTAAAAGAAAGCCAGACAGCTTATAAAAAATTATATTTGATGTGCTACATTTGTCTGTAAAAATTTAGAAATGGTTCAAAATGTTATAAGAAGCATTTGGTTGCAAAGGGTAGGAACAAACAAGGATTTAATTTTAAGCAGCATGTATTCATCAAAATTCAGAATATATACATAATTTTTTGAAATTTGGTAAAAATTGTTCATGTGTTTTTAGTTTCTGTTGGTCAGGAAAATGATTAGGTTAGGGGTGTTGTCTCTAGGGTGTGGGGGTCAATTGCCCTCACTAATTTATATTAGATACAATGCCACAAAATAATAACAAGAAAATGAATGAGCTGAGCAGTATCTCACAGAAAACCAAACAGAAAAAAGAAGTGAATCAATCAAATGAAACTTGTTAATAGAATTGTGTTCTAAAGAAGAAAAAATAGTTAGAAGTTCCAGTGACACAAGTGTATTTGCCAAAGCCCCCTTCTGCATTTTTTGTCTTTCAGTTAGATGGATGTGACTTTTTAAAAAGTATTTTAAACTTTATTTAAGTTTTTGTATTACCTTAGCAAGGCTTTTTTCCATTACTCGAAGATTGTATTGTAAATATTTTTAATAGGTTTTATATATTATGATCTGTTATCTGCCTTTACTAAAAAGGTACAAAAAAGGAAATTTTTGTGCAAGCCTATTCTGTAAAAAATTGTATTTTGTTATATTGTTTTAAAGTCCTGTAATAAATGTTTGTTCCTTTCAAGTTTCACTTAGTAGTTTTGAGTTGTGTTTGTTTTTAATATTGGGGATAAGAGAGGTTTTTTTCTCCCATTCACACTAGGGTAAATATCTTTTAATATATATGAAAATTCTGAATTTTGAAGATAATAGTTTAATTTGTGTTTTCAGGCAGAAAGAATAAAAGAGAAAATGGAAAAGCTTAGTGCCACCTGGGATAAGCATTGCGCATTAGAACAGAAAAGGATATCTGAAGTAAGTACAATAAAAACGTTTAAAAAAAATATATATATATATATATATATATATATATATATATATATATATATAATTTTTATGTGCAGTACTTAGTGGATAGTGCTCAATATCAGTGATAGAGCTAACATATTCAGTTGTATGGATATGAGTTTGTGACCCTAGGTTTCATGCTTTTGCTATCATCAGACAAACTGGTTTATTTTTTTAAATTAGCTCTATTTTTGCTTGTTTGACTATGTTTGGTGGTGTGCTTTATCATACACATAGACACACATGCATGCAGTTGTACGCATATTAGTTGACAGAAACGCACCCATATAAACAATGCAAGGCCAGGTACAGATGCACAACCATGCACTAGGGCATACATACATACACAATTTTAATTCTATTTCGATGTTGAAATCATAGTTTTTTATATGCAACAATGTTCCTTTCAGCAAGGAGTGGGTAGGGGTGTTCTTGATGCCTTTCAGATCTCCCGCCTGCATCGTCAGATGAACTTACACTTCCTCACACACACATACACACATGCAGACACACACATAGACTCCTATTGGTCTGGGTCTTTGTATTCTATTTGTGAGCATAGTAATGATAATGTTTGTATTTTTAACGATGACTGCTTGTGTATTACTGACAATTGTGATTATGCTGATAGTGATAATAACTGTGATATTAATTATTATTAATATGTTAATAATAGTTATTGATGTATTAACGGTAAATTTAGCATTAATGACCATAGAAACATTAGTAAAAAATCAAATCACCACCACCACCACCACCACAAAATTCTACATAATTTGCATAAATCAGTCCAAGTTAGATTATCTACCAACTACAACAATAAGGAAATATTTGATAAGACTAAAATTAAATATATAAAGGCTTTAGAACTAAGCAATCATAAAGTAAATTTAGAGTATTTAGAAAAAAACAAAGAAGGTAAAACTAAACAGAAAGACCATAAGTGCAACATTATGTGCTTCAATCCATCTTTCAACTGTAATATTCAAACTAATAAGAATTATTAAACAAATATATCTCCAACAAAGACAATGTAAATTTTTCTAAAAATAAATGCAACTGCCAAAAAATATGATCTATCCCTTAAACGATTAGTGTATGACTGATAATATTGTATACCAAGTGAGCATACATTACAGTAGCAATGTTAAATTTTATTTTGGTTTCATTGAAAATCCTTGGAAATTTCATTTCTGCCATCATTAGGTAATATATAAAACCGAACTGCTCTCTCCAAAAATTTTCTGCTAGTTCCCCTTCTATTAACTGGGATACTGTAGCAAGAGCCAAATCTTATAATGAAAAAGGAAATAAATGTAACTTATATCTTGTTGAAAAACTGATTATCTTAAAACACTTAAATAATCTGAGCTTATTAAAGAAGAGAAATGAATTGATAGTAGGCATAAAAATAAATATCTATTAAATACATTGATCCAGATTAATTTTTAATGTAATTTGAATTTAAATTATAGTTTATTTTAATGTAAATTACTATTTATTTTTAATATAAATTCATGTTTGTTTTGTTTTGTTTTGTTTTGTTTCTTAAATAAGAGCAAGTAATCTCCCTTGAATTAAAAAATGAATATTCACAACTCAAAAATAAAATATTTTTCATTTTTTTTCTTACATACAAATCCCATTTATTTTAATTGCCAAATATAATTTTTAAAATTAAAAAACTGTAATCCCAGTATAATATATAACTGTGCCAACATTGTGATAACCAGATATATTATTTTTTTCTTTAACATTTAAATTATGTAATGGTCAGTCCATAATCAGCACCTGAAGATTGTGTTGTGTATGAAACTCCAAGTTATGTTAGCAGTGAGGGATAATATGTATATTTATTAATATGTACTTAATAGCTCTGTTATATTATGCTGAGCACTGTTTTATTAACACCAGCACTATATGTATCATCTTACTTATTATAAAACGCAGATTGTGTGTGTGTGTGTGTGTGTGTGTGTGTGTGTGTGTGTGTGTGTGTGTGTGTGTGTGTGTCTGTATGTTTATATATTGGATCGGATTTCCTACATTTTTCAACTGATTTCAACAAAACTTCACAGAACTGCGTAAAATTACCTTGCGGTGGTTCTGACAGCGCCCAAAATTGGAAAAACACAATTGTGTTTGCACGAAATCAATTTGAAAACACGATTCTGTCGCCAGAATGAAAGGGGGACAACTCATATCGAGTTTTACTTATTATAAAACCCAGGTTGTTTGTTTGTGTGTGTGTGTGTGTGTGTGTGTGTGTGTGTGTGTGTTCGTTTATATATGGGATCCGATTTCCTACATTTTTCAACCGATTTCAATAAAACTTCACTTTTTTTGGCAGTTAGTGTTTCTTATTGTCTTGCACACTTTTTTCTTTATTTTTACATTCAGAATGCTTTAAAAATTACATTTACAAGACAATTGTTTATAATAAAATTCTATTCAATCTTAAGTAACGATTGAAAACAATGTTTTTGTTTGAGTTTGGGTTTGACCAATTCATAAAAAAATAAATAAATAAATAACTGAGACATGCGTGTCCGTCAACCTTAAATAATAATAATTTTATTTTTTAGTCTTTATGATGGTCGATACTTGATCTATCTCTTACTGTTACTGTCCCCGGGCAACGCCGGGTTCTACTGCTAGTATATTATATTTACATATATATACTCACAGATTACTTGTTTATTGCAAAAGAATTTATAACAGAAAAATTGCACAAAGTCTTCAAACAGCCCTTTCAGGTTTTGAGTTTTCCTTTTATTATAGCTCTGCTATGATAGAGGGAAAACTCAAGCTGGAGGTAGATGGATTAATGCCTTTACAAAATCATGCTAATGTCTTAAAAATGCCTAAAAACTTTTATATATGAAAATTAATTTCTTTTAATTTGGATTAGTTTTATGTCATTACCTTTTAAAGTTCAAAGAAGGCATTTAAATTATTTAGAATGTGTTCTTATGAAAACTGTGACAGTACCTAAATTTTACCAGTGGACTAGCATTATCAGAGAAAGCATTTTATCTTACAAGAACAAAATCTACATTAGTGAGACAAAACATGATCCATATTAAATGGCTGAATGCTTGTTTTTTTTTACTTTAACTGTATCATTATAGAAACACGATTTAACTAATTTCAATTCCATTTTTATTTATTTTTGTTTTTATTATTTTTTTATGTATCCCACATTGTTTCAGTCCTAAACTGGTAACAAGGGAGAATAAATTGAAATAGTTGAGAGCTATATTAATCATAGGAGACTCATACGGACTTTCAATGTATCTTTGTCTGATTAAATTAGATTCACTTTATATTAGAACATCATCAGTAACTGCTGTGTCGTGGCACAATAGTAAAAATAAGAAAATCAAGTCGAAGTTGGTTTAAAGAACAAGTTTATTTAACATCACAGATACAAAGGTAGGAAACGGGTACTACTCAGCTAGGCAGTTGTATTACTGTCGCTGCTTACACCGGGTAGGTATTACTGGCACTATATATAGTGAGAAACGGTGTAATTCCGTTGTGTTAGAGGCCGGCGCAACACCCCCCTTTGAAAATATCCCGTCTGGGAATTAATAACGTTTTTGTTTTGGGTTCACCCTAATCAACTCCGTTGATTTCCGCTTTCTTTCTGACCTCCTATTCTCAGGAGCTGTCTCTGGTATGGGCACCTGAAAAGTATCAAACACTATGTCCATGATGTCCTCCTCGGGCGATCTGGTCACCTCACTGTTCGAGTATCTTTTTCGGATTAGGTTAGTGTGACGTTTTTGCACGAAATCTGGTCCCTTAATCATATAGACTATGTTGCCTATTTGTTTCTCAATAGTGTCGGACTCCCAAAATGTCCTATTATTTCTATGCATCTTGTAGAAAACTCTTTCGCCAACTTTATACCGTTTTTTTGTTATTGTTTTTTTGAGGTTTGGCCTATCCTGGTTTGGTAACAACTTGTGGAAAATTGATCTAACCTTGCGTCCGAACATGACCTCAGCAGGTGTCTTCGACGTTTCGATGTTTGCATTTGGAGTGACCCTGTAAACTTGTAAGAACTGTTGGATTGACTTATCCGTCGGTGATCCACTAGCCTTTCTCAGGGCTCTCTTGAACGTATCCACGAATCTCTCCGCTTGCCCATTGCTTCTTGGATGGTATGGTGGAATGGTTATATGCTCGATTAGATAATCCTTGCAGAGATGTTTAAATTTGGTAGACGTGAATTGCGTTCCATTGTCTGTGACAATGCAGTCTACAACTCCAAACCTAGCGAATAGTTCATACAGGAAGTTAATAGCTGCCTCGGATGTGGGATTCTTGCATTTCAGTACTTCCGGCCACTTAGATAGACTGTCTATAACAATGAGATAGTAGAAACCATCTAACGGTCCAGCAAAATCCAAGTGAATTCTCGACCAAGGTCGCTCCGGTTTTGCCCACCAACCGAATTGGGTCGGAGGAGCTTTCATAGCTAATGCGCATCCTCTACACTCCCTGACTTTTTCTTCTATATCCTTATCCATGTTTGGCCAGAAAACGAAAGAGCGCATAAGGCTTTTCATTCTTGATATGCCTGGATGTCCTACATGGAATTCCTTGAACATTCTTTTCTGTAATTTCGTAGGAATTACGACCCTGTCGCTATATAACAGGACGTTATCACAAATTGAATAAATTTCCTCATCCAGTTGGTTACTGTTGATTTTTTCTTTCGTGCTTATAATAAATTCTTCCACCTCTGCCTTACTCTTAATCTCATCAAGCGTTACTGGAAGTTCTCTTATCGTGTCACATAAAGTATTTTTTACTTCAACTTCCGCTTGAATGGCTGCTATTACCATATCCTCCAATGGTTCTGTGTGCTTAGGTATTAACCTTGATAAGCCATCTGCATGACCAAGTTTTTTAGATGGTACATACTCCATTTGAAAATTATAACTCAGAAGAATGGT